GTTTTTGCAGGCGGTTCCATGAGTTCAGATAGCAGGCTGCCCTCTACATGCATTTCTATTTCTAATTTTCTTTTGAGAAGCATACATTTCCAAAGAAAAACCCACTATATAAACTGGACTATATAAACTCAGATTCCTCGAATGTCCACAAATTCAACTGAGATCTTTGGATTCAATGGTATGCCACAAGAGACCTTAAAACATAGTTTGTTCTCAAACGCAACCGAGGTAGTGCTGAGGAAGTAAAGTTTTAGAATAATATATTGCTACATTATATATATTATTGTGTCGAAGAAATTACGCTTTAAAAGAAAATTGATGAGTTTATAAATGTATATAATAATATGTGTGTATAATATATGTTTATAAATGTATATAATAATAATTTTTTTTCTAAATTTAATCTTGTGCTTAGCCGATTTCAAAAAAGTGTCAACGGATCACCCATCCAGTAAGAGTTACGAAAAGTACTTTTAAGGAGTCATAGCTTTTGAATTATAATTTTTCAAGAAATAATTTCTCGGTCTTTATTTACGTGTTTTCTCATTCGTAACATTAGCCAAAAACACGATCGTGAGACTGCTGCATCCAATCTGCCTTTGGTTGATTTTTCATTGTTTAAATTACATGTAGTGGGAGTGGTTGGTTTTCCTTAGACCCGTTTTTTAAAATCCCGGTAGATATATATTTACACTTGTATATACATTTATACTTTAATCTTTCGTATTTTTAAAATTGCAGACATGGTTGCTAAGAAGTTGATTGCCTTCTTTGCCTTTGTGATGCTGGTTACTTTATTGGAGCAGATAAATTCAGGAGTCCATGGGCGCATGGCAAAACCTAAGAAAGCTGGTAGAGTTAAGGTGATCCATACAGGTCCCCGTGTTAGCAAACTCAAGAGGAAAGTAGCAGAATTGAAAAAGCAACTCGCCTCTATGGAGCCTTGTGAACGTGAGAAACATTTCACTGCACTCTATTTACCTTTTTAAGCGAATTAGGAACAAATTAAACTTATTTTTATAACTTTCCTTGTGTCTGGAACACAATTAGAAAAATAGAAGGCTTTGCTTAGTAGGCAAAATTTTATTGTTTACCGTTGTTAAACGCCAGCCTCGCCTCCACAGACATTATATATTTAAGTCACTTTTACCTTAATTGCTTGTGAATATCCTAATTTTGAATGTGGTCTGTTGCTTTTAAAGCTTGTGAGTCAGCAAAAAAAAGAGGTTTCCTTTTTGAAAGTCCTGCAGAATCGGACTACATTGATGCTGGGAAGCTGGATACGCCTTTGGATGCATTAACGTCATGTACATGGGTCAAATTTAAGAAGAAACCTGGCTTTCATGTTGTTTTCAGCAGTCGAAACATGGAGTTCGCCTTGTTTGAAGAAGAACAAAAACTTTATATAGAGGTGAATCAAGATTCATATAGGTAATTCAAAACATTTGTTGAGGTCTTAACTTGTTCATTTTAGTGATTGTCATTTGTAGGTCAAGTTTTTTATTTTCTCTTGTTTTAATTTTAGTTTTGGTGATAAATTTAGTTCTTACAAAAATTTAGTTCACACACGTGTATTTTTAGCGTCAAAGTTATTACTATTATATATTCTCAGACTTTCTTTAAAGTAGTCGTAGTAGTCGTCGATGACTAGTTCTGATAAACTGTCGAGCAATTTCTGTGATGATGAAGTTGTCGTAGTCGTACTCTACCCTCAAGCACCCGCCCCGCGTTGATCGGCGCTAGCGCTTTTGCTTTTAATAAATACCCCCATAAACTGTACACTTGAAAGCTTAATAGTTTCAGATTATTGCTTATTCCTTTTAAAAATCAAAACACTAACGCGATTCAGAAATGAGAAACTTTTTGTGAAAGTGGGTGTCACTGTAAATTTAAGTCCAGGCCAGCCAAAAATAAACGGAAGAAGCCAATTAAGATCTCATTCGCTTCTTTACACGTTTGACTAAAAAACGGTGTCTCAGATTTTTGTCAAGTGGGTTTGTTCTTTTGTTATAAGCTGTTGAAGTTAGGGATAGCAAATCATTAGCACTACCTGTGAAAAAATAATCTTACTCGAAAACGAAAAAAGAAATCAAAATTCGCAGACACGGTTTGTTAGAAAAATTATCTGACAGTAAGTTGGCCAAATTTCGCCCAAATTGGTTCACGGGTTGCCGACTTGGAGTTTAAAACGTACCCTCAACTTGCCCTGATTTTCATTTCGAGAAAACAGGGGAAAAAGATTTTTGGCGGCCTATTACCCGTGACGAGATTATAACAGATTATAACACCAAAGCTGTCAATGTTGAAGCATACCAGAAAAGGGACAACAAATGGTTACAAACGAAACCCGACAACAGATGAACAATTTATTTCAAAGGCTATGCTCTGTTCGATCCTTCTGTTGTCGAGAAAGCATCTTTAGTTATTTGCGACGGGCAGTTTTCATTTTGAGCTAGCCAACTTTTACTCGATACATTTTCTAAAAATTCGACACTTCCCTGGAAAAATCGAGAACAAACCGCTTCCTGGAGTTTTTCTTGAAGCTGTTCTTCCGTTACAATAGACTTTCAAAAAAGTCCTTCGTCCGATTTTTATATGGCGCGGGACCTGTCGCGAATTTTTCGCTCGCCTGGCCGCTTCGCGGCGTAAAAAGCTCGGACCGGTCGTTTCCCCCCCCTACATCCAGGATAGTCAATGTAATATGTCACACTTACCAACATAGAAACAAAAATACTCTTTCTGGGCTATCAGTGGTTTAAAGTTGCGCAAGCCAAATCAGTGTCAATTGACAGCTGTGAAAATGGGAAATGTGCAGACCATCATCACAATACTTACGACAGCTCAGCTCGAGCCATCATTTCTCCCCAAATATTAGGTAGGTAGACCTGGATGGTAGGTCCCGGTGAAAAGAAACCCGCTGGGAAAAGAAAAAAAAAGATCTTTTTAACATTAAAATGAACTACCACTGGTAAGTTGCACAACCTTCCCGGCTACTTTTTTTGGAGATTGTAGGTTTAAAATATTTTAGCAGACTCGGTCAAAGAGGAGAGGGGTTTGCGCGACAAGGGAGAATTATCACAAAGAGTGAATGAATGAAAAGATTAATCCCAGCAGAAGGATCCAGAGGATACACTGCCACCACATAAATTTGAAGATCAGTGTTGAGAAATAACAATGTGGTAAACTTCTAGCAGGTCCAACACTGTGCTTAGTGAGGTTCTGGCCTCCTGCCCTCTTCAGATTAACTTTAAAACTTAAAATAAAAAACTTAAACTATCCAGGGTGCTTGGAGATACTAACTTACATAGGTTTCAGAAAATAGATTAAAAAAAGTAACGGTTACGTAATAATAACAAAAAGGACAATTGAAAACTTAAAAAAGACGTAATTGGCAAAAATATTAACTAATACACGCATTTTTGGTCCAATGGCTGTTCCATGCTTTTGAACAAACTTTGGTTGTAAAAATTGACAATTGTTAACCCAGAGGAAATCCTTAGTTCCTAACAGCGGGAACACGTAAATCATTATCAGTGTTAGGAAACATCTACTCAACTTCCGAAGACATAAGTAGAGAACCCTCGGGAAGTGGACCTTTCGAGTAAAGAGCCTCAATCTTTTTTTATGAAATAAGTTGAGTCTTTAACAAATGACGCAAGATTCTACCTCAAGCCACTGTAAAAAAAAAAAAACAAAAGAAAACAAAAACAAAAACACTTCTAAGCGACTTTGTCAACTCTACGCTTCCTTTCTTTTTCATTTTCAAAAGTGGGAGAAGCTAACTAATGCACTTTGTAGTAGTTGATACACATAGGTCCGTTAAAATTAGCAGGCACCTTTTTTGTTATGGTCGTTGTTGTAATATAGACATATATTTTTCGTTGTTATTGTTATCCTTTTTCTTTTGTATAATTTGATTCATTTAATTAATGTCTATTCTTAAGTAACATAGTAAAACTTGTCTTTAATTGAATAAAAACCGTAAAAACAAAAAAAAAACAACCAGAAAAACTCCACGCTTTCGAGCGGCTTTGACTGGGAATATTCAGGTGTTTTTAAAAGAAGGTGGTGGCTCATGGCAGGGAAAGGGTCGCGTGGGAAGTTGGTCGCACATGGTGGTTCCGATGATGCACGGCTAGCGTAACTGTGGGCATTAAAAAGGATGGAAAGTTTACATGTTTCAAAACCCAGCGTATATCCGTGGCTTGCTTTGTCAACCATTGTACCGTAGTAAACAATGTGTTTAGTTTTAGGCTAAGGCGAAAAAGATCACTACTTCCAAAACCCGAGAGCTAGACGTTGAAAGAAAATGCTGTAGATAATATTAGCCAACTTCAGTTCGCGTTACCAACTTTTAGTTTTAATGATTTCAATAGAGGTGGACATACCAACGAGACCATTCACTTTAACGAGTGGAGCCACTACTGCCTAACAAAGGAAAATAACCTATGGAACATGTACATAAATGGGACAAGGAAGAAAACATTCACAGAAAATGGTGACTTAAATCTCTTTTAAACTAATAATTCAGTCCAACAACTGAAGTGTAATGATAATTCATATATAGTGACAGATGATGATGATGATAACTGATGGTGATTTTGCAGGTCATGATGTTGATGAGTATGATGATAATCATCATAATTTCGTACGACTCAAGTGATTTGTAGCCTATTTAGACCGGGCTTTGTTTTACTTCCTGTGACCGGGGGAGGGGGGGGGGACTTGATTCCATTTAAATGCAATGTAATGGCGGAATGGTCTGTTCTTATTGTAGCAATAATATCTATATTTTCGGCCTCTTCTTGATCACCACTGCTAAAGTTTATTACTGTATGCCAAAGGGGAGCAAATTTGATTTTTTGGGTCTTGCCTCGAATTGTCGATTTTGCTCGGTTTTCGCACGGACAAACATGCAGCTCCAAATCTAGCCCCAAAATTAACTCTAAAAACTTAGATATTTCCTTTACACAGGAGGAGCGATAGCGGCAGAAGGCGAAATGGTGTACGGAAAATTGTATGAAGAAACAGGGAAAGAGTTTATGAAAAGTCATTCCTTCGTCGGAGAAATGGCAGGCATCAATGTGTGGAATCGCTCGCTGAGTGAGCAAGAGATCTCTGAAATGTCCAAGTCATGCAGTGTAGGAAAGGGCAACGTTATAAGCATGGATAAGTTAAAGGTGATGGGAGGAGTGAAGGAAATCTCTGTCTCTTGTTAATCTGTATACACTAGCCACCATTTTGCCAATGATTACTTTGGAGATGATTTCGATAATTAGAATTTAAGGCAATTCAAAAGTTGTTTGGCTTGATATTCTATAGGAGTGCTCTTCAAAGAAGTCTGAAATTGATTCATTTGGGTTGCTTGATTTTCAATTAACAAACCGGTCCCTTCGAATACCGAAGACAATTAGAATGGCTCCTTTTGAAAGGAGAACTTGGGCGCTTTCCATTTACGAAAAAAAACCGGAATTTCGGTGGTAGCAAAAGTGGAATTTCCGATTGGTAAAAAGTTGTTCCATTTGGTCGTAAACCCCGGTACGTGGCCGGGTGCCCGACCGTGGACCTGGAAATGGTACAAACTACGAGAAACGTAAATGGAACACGACATTCCGTTCGGAAATTCCAACCGGGAAAACGGGACCACCTTTTTAGATTTTCCACTTTTTCTGGGAATTTTCCAGTGGGACGAACCGACGAAACGTGTTCCATTTACCGCCGAACCGGAAATTCCGGAAATTTTGACTAAATGGAAGCGCCCCTTACCTCTCGTCCTCTCTTCTTTTTGCCGTTATTATTATTTTTTACTTTCTCTTGTTAACTGTCAGCATTTTTTCTGTGACGATGAATATACGAAACTATTCTATTCTCATTTCTTGCTGTTTTTTATCTTTTTGTGTAGAAAACTCTCCTTTAGTGTCAACAAATGTTAAATTAATTTAGTAAGAAACAAGGGCGTTGCGCATGCAAGCACCTAAAAAGGGCGGGAAAAATGGTGTGAATCTCATGCACCGTTATGGACAAACTCTCTTTCTCACTCGTGAAGAAACAGCATTCGGGATTCTGATATTCTGAACTCTCTATACCACATGTGAAAACCATGGTTCGCTCCTATGCTTGGCTAGAACTCATTTGCGTATGAAAGTTTAGGACATAGTTTTCAGTGAGTTAATCTCGGTATACATATAATAATTACGACCATTAGATCATTGTCCCAAGGACGTTTGTCAATTGTAGGCTTAATAACTTTAAAAACAATTTCTGACCAGCACTTGACTGGAAAAGTTGACTGGAGATACAACGTTTTGTTTGGTTTTCACATTGAATCATACGTGAATAACTAATCATTATAGTTAAACTAAACTGACATCGCCTTAGTATAACCAACACATTTTAGGTTTAGATCTCTTCAAAGGACTCAGTTTGTTTTTTATTGAGTCAGATCGGTTTTGTTTTCGTAAAAATATACGCTCCTTGTTCTGCTGGTTTTTGTGTTCACTATGGCAAAGGTTTTGGTGGTAGTTTATGCAGATATATTCAATATATGGGGATATGGGGGAAATATTTTAAATTCAGGGTTTAATTAGACTTGAGTGTAAACTGTGGGTCATTGGTTTATGTTATCAATGATTAGAAGCGAGCAAAATAAATAGTTATTAAAGCAAGATTTGTGTCTCTGTGGTCACTGTGGGACCAAGCCAAATACAAGATGGCTAGCACCCTTGCCAGTAACGAACGCTACCTGAACACAAAATTCTGGATAGCGCTGTTTGGGGAATGGATAAACTACTCCGAGGCACCATTGGCAGTTACGCTTTGGGCGTCATGGGCGAAGAGCAACATTTTGGTATTGGCCTCACCTTTACCTTTTTTCAGTTGTTTTGCGTCTTTTAAACTTAGGTACACTGTACACGATATGTGCAAGCTGGGTTACACTTTGAATGACCTATTATCTGTAGAGATGCTATGAATGAAATGATAGCGTCCCTCGCTCATATCACTAGGTTGTTAAACACTTCTGCAGCAAGCCAAAATTAGGTTAACTTGAACAATACTAAAGAATAGCGATCATACTGGAATAGAATGATATGACAGTTACATCACAGATATCAAGCTGCTTTTCCTTGTGAATCAATCGGTTTTACTGAATTTTAAGCTATTCCTTGGAGATATTATGAATGTAATGATAGCTTGTTTCACTCATATGAAAAGTGGGCTTTTAACCACCTTTCTCTTTTTATCGGGCTCATTCTTTATCAATTGAGAAGCAGGGGCGGATGGAGGATTTTGTGATAGAGGGGGCCTAGAGATATAGTATACAGTGGCAATATGAGCGCAATATAGCGCGGATCAGGACTGTGACAGGCGCAATTTTCTAGGGGGTTTCGGGCGGATGCTCCTTCGGGAAAATTTTTGAGATTAAAGTTCTCTGAGATGCAATCCAGTGCATTCTGGACGCTTACACTTAGCAAATGCCTGGATTCCATATAGAGCATGTAGTTCTGAAATATTTACTAAACCATAGCCTGCGAAAACATCCGCTTCTCCTCGCTTTTCGCCGCTGGGGACGTTTCGCGCGGAGGAACCTCTGCGACTCAGCGACAGAAATTCCATACTGTTGACGTAAAATCTGTCCGGAATCCGGTCAGAAGCGCTGATTGATCGACGGAGTAGTTACATTGTTTTAGCTATTGTTTACGAATGACAGATAAAGGACAAAAGGCCACAAAGGTCAAATGTAAACGCGAAGAATCTCTAACAAAACAGTCAATATTTGTGGAACATAGTCTTCTCTAGAAGAAGCATTTGAGTTTTGCTCGATCTCGTTGGCAGATAAACACAACACTTCACCAAAATCGACCAGAAGACACGTAATACTGGACAAAGATATATTTGGAACCCCATGACTACCGGGTTTATCATGTAAACATTGATTTGCTTCATCAGTATGGAATTTCTGTCGCTGAGTTGCAAACGTTCCCCCGCGCGAAACGTCCCCAGCGGCGAAGAGCGAGGAGTAGCGGATGTTTTTGCAGGCTAAATAAACCACAGTTGTGGTTGGGGTCAAAGAAAGTAATTAACTCTTTTTGATGCCAGCCGGGGCCGAAGCGATTGCGGCGAGAGCACAGTCAACCTCCTGGCAAAGACAACGTTCGATAAATTTTCTTATTAATAATGTTTATTAAAGAAAATGTATTTAAGTAACAAAGCTCGAAGTACCATCCGACACACGTTTACAAAAGAAAAAAAAATTCCCACACCAAACGGGGGCCCGGGGCCTCCTGGGCCCACCCCTAAGTCCGCCCTTGATTCAGGACTTCAATGGGATTTGAACCCGTGACCTCGCGATACCGGCGTGGCGCTCTCACCAATATAAGGGGCTAGTCATAATTTAAGTTGGAGGGGTGGTGGGGGGGGGAGGTTGTGGAGGGGAAATTGTTTTTTATCCCAAATTATTTCCAGACCCCTACTAATAGCACCCATGTTTTTTAGGTAACCCCCTTCAATCATGTTAAAAGATTTAAGGGCCCCCCTTCCTTACATAATACCCAAATGGTAGTAACAAATAACATTTTCTTTACTTTACCGTTCTTACTCACTGTCACTTCCGAATGTGCTAACTAACAACAGAGAAGCACTTCACACTAAACTGAGAAAGAGATTTCACCTAGAGCCTCTCAAACAGCTTATAGAGCAAGGATATATCAGTGATTGTGTTATAATTGAGATAAGACAAGCCATTGAAAGGTTAGAGGCCGAAAGGACCGCTTCAAGGAAGAAAGAAGATAATCAGCCAAAGCTTACTGCTTTTTATATGAGCAGTACAACCTCTAATAGCAAAAACCTTGACAGTGACACAGACAGTGAGTCCACATCAACCTCATCTACAAATAATGATTCGGATAGTGAGATTGCATAACATGACTTTATGCATGTAATCATTTGTTAAAATGCCGATGAAATTGTTTCACTGTTACACAGTAATGGATGTTGTGTTGATGCACCTACTATTTGAGCATTAAATCGTTTTTTCAAAATGCTGATTAAATTGTTTTAGTATTACAAAATATAGGACTTTGTGTAAAACTGAATCTAAATTAGGTCCTTTAATACTCAAGCATCATGCTGCTCAGTAGGGATGCTACTATTCCATACAAAAAAAATTGAAGGCCCCCCAATTTCTCCTCCACCCCCCCTCCCTCCAACCTAAAGTATGATTTGTCCTTAATTAAGCTATAAAGCCACTGATGTTGGGAGCTGGTCAATTATGTGCTTATATGCTCCCGTGAAAGAGATGAATGTGACAATAAATCGATCGTAATATATAACAACTGCGGAAAAAAAATCAAATGAAGAATAATCCTCGCAGTTGTGAACGCAATAGGCCTTTTGCATTACTTGATCACGTGATCAACTTTCGGTGAACACGAAAACAGTTCGGTTTTGAAAAATTTTATTAGCATGAGCTGAAACAGCATATTAAAATTAAGTAATCTGTAGATTTTCAGTCGTATACACGTCTCAAAAGCAGCGATTGCAACGGCCGCCGAAAATTAGAAGGATTTGTATGAGAAAAACAAACTTTTGCCATCCAGTCACACTTGAATGGTTTTCCATACAAATACTTGTAAATCTGGAAATTTGACATTAGTATTTTTCCTACCCCTGGCTAAGACTGGACATCTCTTTTATCCAAAAGATTGATTTAATTTTCATATTTTTCGATGGTAATGCCGTTTCTTAAAGGTAAAAAATAATAATGATAATAATAGAATATAGGAAGAAGAAGAAGAAGAAGAAGAAGAAGAAGAAGAAGAAGAAGAAATGTCTTTTGCTTGTAGTCCCTTTAGAGGTTTAGGTCTCAAAAAGAGAGATATGTGCTGTATGTACATATCATCTGTGAAGATGTTATGTTTGTAATGAGAGCGTGCTTCGCTCATGTATTAAGTAGGTTTGTAACCACCTTTCTCTTCAGTTTTATCACATTCATTGTCAATAAAGTTTTTTACAACGCTCTTAGCATAGAATGTACATGAACGTTTATAGTGGAAGAGTTCCAAAGTTTTTGCCTCACGCTTTGACTGATCCCGGTCATAAATATAAAACATTGCAATTTTTAAGGGAGAGTAAAACACCCCATCAAAAGGTATCTCATTCATCCAAAAAGTTTATTATTTTAAACCTGTTTGATGATGAGGCTTAAAAAGCATTGGACATGTCTTTTGCTAGTCCCTTCAAAAAAGTGTTTTGCTTTCAATTTCACCCTCAAGATTTGTATTCTGCTGTGACACAAATTCTCCTCTCAAAAACTGCATCTTAACAACTGTTTAGTGCAAGATTAAAACATTCACTAAGTACGTATTGTCAAATACTGAAAAAGTAGGACTCAAAACTAAAGCAGAGGCAAAAATGATATTAGCTAGCCGTGGTTCGCAGGTCTAAAAACACAGTAGTCCACCTTGTTAGGGGAGCTCCACAGGTGCGCGAAGCGTGCCCGAGCGTAGCCCTATACCTAAGAAAATGTGTTAATCTACCCATCAGAGAAATTTTGGCAATCACGTGACCGTAGCCCGTCCACCCGCCCGTCCGTCTGCACCACAGGCATACCAATGTAAAATAACTCAATCAACAGGTATGGCAACCAAAATCCAACTCGAGGATATTTTGGTGGGAAATCGCATAGCCACCCTCGTCTTGTGAGGCAGAGACAACTTAAGAGTCAATAAAGACGAAAACGGAAAGCGGAAGTTGTTTCTCTATCCGTGTTGTCTAAAGTATTAACGTTAGATCAATTGTCATGTCCACAAATTTGGAATAAATAGATAGAGAAAGACAAAGAAAAGGAGAAAATAGGTGACAGGCCAGCAAAGCTCATCGGGAAAAAGAGCGACGGAGAGCTAAACCGAGAGATAAAGAGCCATTCTTTGTTGAAAGAACAACATGAAATTGAAGCGGGGGTGAGAGAACGAGAAAAACTAACGGCGACCAAAGAAAAAATGAGCGGTGGTGAAAAAAAAAAGTGAACAAGAACATGTACGACATTTCCTCCATAAAACGTGTAACCAGGAAGTTTCTGAACGTTGCACGTTGTAGTCGTGCGAAACAACGGCAAAAAAATGTGCAAAAAAAGTGTGCTGCAGCTGCAAAGTTGTTTTTTTTTTTGCTAATTAGACCTACTGTTGTTTTTTCACCGTTCTCGTTGCCTTTCGCCGCTTAGCATTCACGATTTTATATCTAGTTTGAGTAAACGATAAATATTAGCGAGAGCTTCGCTTTTAGCCATGGCTAAATCTATATATTACTCATTCTAACAGTTAGACGTTTCTGATTGGCTCCAATCCCATAATCCACCTTTAGCCTCCGTGGATAACATTCTTCTCGATCTACATAATTATTCACATCATACGGAAGCCTAATTCAATATTTATAGCTAATTATCAAACCCCCATAAAAAATTATATGCATTTATGGATACATAAGAACTGTCACTCTCACTATGCTGAAGTTATACAATGAAAATTTCAATCAGAAGTAGTACATTTCCCCATATGATCATAAAGCACAGCGATATGAAAAGAAATTACATGATCATTTCCGACAGATATAAAAGTGGACTGCCTTGTAAATTTAACTCAAATTGTATAGGTTAAAATTAAAGGAAATGTTAAAGAATATAATGATAGCGTGCTTCACTGAAAAACGCGGAACGTTATAGTCTATATAGACCATATGATAACATTATTATAGTATTGATTATTAAATAAGGTTATCTGACCATCTTATTCCCCATGTACTAAACAGTTATTGCCTGCAACAAACAGCGAAGTCGTATACAGCCTGGAGAGAACGGGTTTTTATTATAATTTTTACCATTAAAATGAAATCTGGTGAAAGTTTCCTGTTGCCAAGAGAGGATTGTAATTCATTAAGAATACGAGATAAGGAGAGTAGCTACAATTCCTGCATCGCAACGTACTTGATATCTTGTGATATATCACTGAAGTACCGTCATATCCCTTTCAAGAGTAAGATTTATCCCTATAGGCAAGGCTAAAACAAGGTATGGGTAACTAATAGATATATATAGAATGATAATAGAATAATATAAGAAACTGACTTTTACTCGCTGTATAAACGCGCACTTACTTAGCACATATCGTTTAAATCAAAATTTTACATTTTTTTTGAGGCAAAAAGGTAATCGTGTTGGTAATCAGAATCACAGTTTCAATGTTAATGCTAACTGGAGGTATGTGGTGCAAAGGAGAAAACTCTACTAGGGAGTGTAGCAATGTTGGTTGGTGTTCAGTCTTCGTTTCCTTGAGAGTTATTTGCGGAGTCTTTGGCCAGTCTTTTAGGATATGAAAACAAGAAAACAAACAAAAAAATCACTGAAAGCTAGCGAGCAAACCAACGTCATTTGCTGATGAGGGCAAAAGGACTCACGTATTTTATTAAGCTAAAAGATCATCACCATCTATTCCTGCTCGTAAATATTGGCTGGAGAGTGTGTTTGATTCTGTTGCTCAAATCAGAAAGTTGTTGTTATTTTTTTTTCACTGCATCGGTGGACTTTTGACAATTTCTCTTGTTTAATAATGACTCTTCGTGTTGTAAACAATAGAAAAATTCTAATCAACATACACAGCCTCTATTTCAAAATTGTTTTGATAAAAATAGATTTCGAAACACACTGATTTCCAAACAAAAACCAGCGATAGTATTGGACAACCCTCGGAGAATGGTTATGAAACCCCCAGTTGTCATATCTCACTTTGATATGGTTTTATAAGCTTAACTAGTCTATCTGAAAGAGCACAATTTTAATTAAAAGGCATTCCAATCGTTTCGACCTTTTCCAACAACAGTCATTGATTTATTCGGTTAGGATTTGTGAAGGACTATGCACCGTCAGGGAACTTCTAACTTAAAGCACCCTGGTTATTGACTAGAAGAATTTTTTTTTCTACGAAGGTCGGGAAAGAAGAAGCAACTCTGCCGACACACCTTCAAAATCCTTGAACTGCCGATCATCCTGTGGTTTGAATAAGTTAGACAAGTTTCATATCTAATAAAGCAGTTTTACCCGCTCACGAACGCTTCTATTTTTCGCAGTGACTTCGAGAAAGCTTCATCGATCGGGCTGTTAGTAAAGTACGTTGGAGCGCTTGTCGTGTTCCAGTGAAACGCAACTGAAGAAGTAAAGTTATGGCCGAGAAAATTACGTTGTAAAAGAAAATTGATCTGTACATAAATATCTCCGAGACACTTTATGTATTTTTATTAAATTTAATATTAATAATAATAGTTTCTCTGCCTATTCTGACGTGAAAAACGTTCGTGAGAGTACAGCATCCAATTAGCCTTGGTTTCGAATTGGTTGTTTACCATTTGCATGGGAAAACCGTGGCCGATCGGCTCACGGTTTGGGCAAACGGTAAGCAATATTCAGGGCTAGTAGATTTCGCTGGGGAATTGTTTTTACTATTTGTAAAAACCAGTTCCATAAAATTCACTGAAATACAGCTGCGAAGGAAATAGAATAATTATAAAATTCTGGGCAAGATTTGCTTGTTCTAACGGATACTTAGAGAAAACACTCGTTGGGTGCCCCTGAAGAATATATGTTATTTATCAAAGATAAAAAATGTTAATTTGATACTGTTTGACGGTTTTACCATGCTTTAGAACTCCAAAAAATATCGCACATGTCTTTTGTGTAATATCCCTTCGAGGTATTTTGCTTTCACTTTCCCCCTCAGGATTTGTTGCTGTGACACAAATATTCGTCTCAAAAAGCTGAATATGAATCAATAGTCCAAGCACTAAACCCTTTACGTCTGAGCAAAAAAATATGTTTATTATAGACCACACTTTCTATGGGTTTACCGGCGTGATAACCCACGCGGGATGTTGGGAGAACACGAGAAAATGATTAATCTTGTAAATCACGAGCCGAAGGCGACTGATTTACCAGCTTCTCCAGTTAAAAAAAAAACTAAAGATAGTACGCGCGTTCTGATTGGTTCAAAACCTATAGTTTATTGTGCCTGTAAACTCATAGAAAACTTAAAGTTATTTTATAAATATATATATAATCCAAATGTCTTGATTTAGAGTGAAAAATTGACATAAGTGTTATTTTTGCCTCTCCAGGGCTAAGATGGATTGATTTGTCGTAAATAGCAAGATTGCGTTTATGAGGGGGAGAGTAAGAGTTCCCAGAGCAACAGATCTTGAGGACGAACCTACAGCTCTAACATTCCATATGCTAAGAATGCAAAGAATATATATCTACTTATCAAAGAAAAAAATTAAATTTTAATACTGTTTGAGGGTTATACCATACCTTACAACTCCCAAAAATAATATCGCACATACCATTTGAGGTGTTTTGCGTTCACTTACCCCCTCCGGATTTGTTGCTGGGACACAAATGCTCGTCTCAAAAAGCTGGAAATGAATCAAACATCCAAGGGCAATGATAATTAATAATAATAATAATAATTAATTAATTAATTGTAAATAGGATTTTAATAGTTTTTTTAAATAAAATTGTCTATTATTATTAATAATAATAATAATAATAATAATAATAATAATAATAAGGGTAATAATAATGAATGAATTGATTTGGAGCGGGAGAGCAAAAAGTATTTTTCCTATCCCTGACTGATTTGTCTTTAATACGAACGTTGCGCTTAAAAGGGGGGGGAAGTACTTAGAGCAGCGGATCTTGTGGGATAAACTGAAACTGCAACACTTTATACGTATGGAATAAAAAACGACATCTCTTTTAACCAAAAGATTGATTTAATTTTCATATTTTAAGATGGTAATGCCGTTTTTTAAAGGTAAAAATAATAATGATAATAATAGAATATAAGAAGAAGAAGAAGAAGAAGAAGAAGAAGAAGAAGAAGAAGAAGAAATGTCTTTTGCTTGTAGTCCGTTTTAGATGTATTGCTCTCAAAAAGAGAGATATATGCTGCATGTACAAATTATCTGTTAAAATGTTATGTTTGTAATGAGAGCGTACCTTTCTCTTCAGTTTTATCACATTCATTGTCAATAAAGAATGTTATTAGTCAGAACGCTGTTAGCATGGAATACACATGAACGTTTCTTGTGGAAGAGTTCCAAGGCCTTTACCTCCCTCTGTGACTGATCCCGGTCATTAATTATCATAAAACACTGTAATTTTTGAGGGAGGGTAAAACACCCCATTAATGTTATCTCATTCATCCGAAAATTTAATTATTTTTAACCTGTTTGATGATAAAACTTAGAAAGTATTGGACATGTCTTTTACTTGAAGCCCCTTCAAAAAATTGTTTTGCTTTCAATTTCACCTTCAAGATTTGTACTTTGCTGTGAGACAACTGCTCTTCTCACAAACTACATCTTAACAACTGGTGAGTCCAAGCTTAAAACATTCACTAAGTACGTATTGTCAAATACTGAAAAAGTAGGACTCAAACTAAAACAGAAGCAAAAATGATATTAGCTAGCGGTGGTTCGCAAGTCCTAAAAACACCATAATCCACCTTATTACTCATTCAAACTGTTTTACCGTTTCCCATTGGCTTCAATCACATAATCCACCTTTAGCCTCCGTGGATGACATTCTTCTCGATCTGCATAATTCTTCACATCATTCGGAAGCCGAATCGGGAATTTAATTGCTATTTATCAAACCCTCATCAAAATTAATTATGCATACATAAGTACTGTGACTCGCACTATGCTGAAGTTAGACAATGGAAGTTCAAATCAAAAGTAGTATATTCGCCCCTGGCCTTATGATCATAAAGCACGGCGATATAAAAAAAAAAATCATGGTCGTTTTCGGCAGATATGAAAGTGAACTGCCATGTAAATTTAACTGAAATTGTATAGTTAGAATTAATGGTGATGTTAATGAATGTAATTAATGATAGCGTGCTTCACTGAAAAAAGCAGAATGTTATAGACCATATGATAATATTATCATGGCATTGATTATTGAATAAGGTTATCTGACCATCTTATTTCCCATGTACTAAACAGTTATTGCCTGCAAAAAACAGCAAAGTCATATACAGTCTGGAGAGAACGGGTTTTTATTATAATTTTTTACCATTAAATGAAATCTGGTGAAAGTTGCCTGTTGCCAAGAGAGGATTGCAGAAGAGATAGAATGTATTAAGATTGTTTCTTCTTCGGTAAGTGTAATTCTTTTCTTTCTATCTATCTCATTATAAATTAATTATTAGACCGCTAATTGAAGATCCACGGTCAATCCGTTTCTATGAGAATCTGTAGAACCTCAGAAACAGCACAATTCATTAAGAATACGAGATAAGGAGAGCAGCTGCAACTCCTGCATCACAACGTTCTTGATATCTTGTCATATATCACTGAAGTACCAGCAAATCCCTTTTAAGAGTTAGATTTATCCTAAAAAGGCAAGCTCAAAATAAGGTATGAGCAACTATCAAATATATATAAAATGATAATAGAATATTTTAAGAAACTGACTTTTACTCGCTGTTTAAACGCGCACTTACTAGCACATATCTCTTAAATCAAAATTTTACGCATTTAAAAAGGTAATCGTGTTGGTACCGGAGGTACGTGGTGCAAAGGAGAAAACTCCACCAGGGAGTATAGCAATGTTTGTTGGTGTTTAGTCTTCGTTTCCTTGAAAGTTATTTGCGGAGTCTTTGGCCAGTCTTTTAGGATATGAAAACAAGAAAACAAACAAAAAAATCACTGAAAGCTAGCAAGCAAACCAGCGTCATTTGCAACAAATACAGGGTGTCCCAAAAATTCGTTCCTCTACTTTATAAGTCTGTAACGCGGTACGATTGGACTTGATCAGCACATAATTTAAACCAAAGTTGTGACTTTCAACCTAATTTAATATTTCATACTTCTTGTGCCATCTTTTGACTCGAAATTCGATTTGTGTAATTTCGCGCCAAAGGTGCGCTGCCCGAGTAACTTGTTTTGCTAACTTGTTTTGAGTGAATATCCTGAAAGATTAAACCCTCTCAACGAAAAAACACTCAGCTACGTGCAAGCAGAAGCATGTATTTCTATCTACTGGCTTATTAGTTGCACAAATTCCTAAAAAAAATGGGAAAATCCGAATGTTGGGTGGTAAGATGGTCATAGAGAAATGAAGGTTTTACAAACAAGAAACGAGGGGTAAGACCGAAAGTCCTGAATAAAACCGCTAAAATAGTCTTAAAGAAGGCCATGCACAAAACAGGAAACCCAACGAGGTAGCTCTTACAACAGTTAGCAAGTTAAGTCTGGAGCAGGTTCACGAAAAGCAAAGTTTGGAGACCCCTGAGATGGCAAAAAAAAAACTTTACTCCCGGCCAGGGCCGTCAGCCAAGCAACGTTCAGCTCGTCTCAAATTTGTAAAGAAGAAAAAAAACCTTACCGTGGAAAGGGGACGGAATGATCATCTTTTCTTGGATCAATGCCCAAAATATATTGTTTCAGCTGCCTAATCTAAAAAATTATATTGTTTGGGGGTCGAAGTGACTCCTGCATACTAGGTGATAAAAAAAAAACCTCAAAATGAATCATCTAGGGCTCTACATGCTACATGGCTTATGTCACTTACTGCCGCAACGGCTATAGAGTGTGATAAAAAAACAAAGGGGGGATGCCGGTAACTGAACTTCTGAACACAAGTACTCGATAGAGTGAGAAACATATTTTCATGTAAAAATGAAGTTTTGATCAAAAGTTATAGCGCATGAAATTAGAGGAACGAACTTTTGGGACACCCTGTAGAGCTGAAGGAGATGTCTACCTAAAACTTTTAGAAAAAAAAAAAAGACTTATTTCTAAGGTAAAGTTTGCTAAAAAAAAATGCATTGACTTGAGAAGATATATTATAGAGTGATTGTTTTTGACTCCAACTAATT